TACAACGTGTCCATACAATGTCTGATAGAAGGCCCTTGTCTGAGCTCAACCTCTAGGTACTACATGAAGGCAAACAGTAGTACTTGGCAGACTGCAGGTTTCAAGTTAGAAATCTAATACCAAATAGTTCTCATTCTTTCCTGCTTTTGGCACTTGGCCCTATTCAAGGTGATTTTGTTTTGGTTTGGTTTTGTTTAAGAAGGTACAAGACCAAATCCTGAGGGCCCTCTGTCTCTGATTCCCATTCAAGTTTACATCACACTCACTGGCAGTTTGTCTCAGAAGAAGTGTTTCCCCCTTAGACTTTTAAACATCTGTACTGCAGAAAGCAAGAAAGCATCGACTCTATCTTGTCCTGCAGCTGTAATCAGAAGCTTTATGATGAAGTTCAGCTGGAAGAGCAAAGGAGAGGAGGAAAAAAAACCCAAACCCCAAAACAAAACAAGGGAATGCCATCAAAGTCTTTTAAAGGCAGAAATTCATTTTACCTTTGTCAATGACTGTGGTTTTCAAGGATAAAGATCAAAGGGATGACCGTGGGCAGAGCTATGACAAACGCCGAGATCAGTCTGTTAAACCCTAGCATTAGTGCTACAGTTAGACTGGTGTCTAGACTAGCAGTGGGTACTCATGCCAGGTTTGGCAAACACGGCAGCGCAGCGCTTGCATCAGAGCTGTAGCAAGAAGAGTGAGGCATCCAAATTGCAGAGGGGAGGGAGCAATCAGGCTCCAGCAGCGTGGAACTGGAAAAGGGAAGTTTAGGAAAATAACACACCAACCAGCCCAAAATACCCCCACAGAATACCTTCAGATTATTGCCTGAGCTCAGGGAAAGAGAGCTGAGAAGATGCATCCCCCCTTCCTGGTTTTCACATTGTGATTAATGTACACCAAAAGCTTAGATAACTGGGGGAAAGTAATGCCAAATTCTTATCAATACAGATGAGCTGGCTTCGTATTTCTCCAGCCCTTTCATGTGGAAATGAGACTGCATCTGATGGGGCCAAGCCCATGTTTGAAATAGCTCAGCTGGGATGTGCGCGTGGTGAGGGTTCAGGTGCTTGCACAGAGAATTGCTAGAGATGGATGGAAAAGGGAAGACCTTTCCCAAGAGCAGAGGGTGCTTCAGGTTCCTCGCTTTTTGTCTTCCTAGGGAAGACAGAAAGTCCTTGCTCTGTGGCACAAAGGTGTGCTGAAGTCTGAGCTGATGGACTGTGCAAGGAGGTAAGGTGGCTTTAGCTGGTGAGGGGGTCTCCATGTTCCTCCAGACACCTGTTGCACAGACCCTGCACATCCCAAAGGAGGAAAGCAGATGAATGAGGGGAGTACACAGACACTTAGAGCAGCTCCTGTTAGTATGCTTGAGGCCAGCCCTGCTCTCACTCCTTCCCCAGGGCATGTGCTTGTTCCAAGGCTGCAGGCTTGGACGGAGGAGAAAGAAGTGACGGCATCACTCTGTGTATGGCATCCTAAGCCTGGCTGAGTCTGGGGCCCTCCTGGCCTGAGAATGCCACACAGGATGGGTACAGGGATAATGCATGCTGCTGCACTCTCACCATCACTAGAGTATCATAAAACTCCCCAGATCCTTTAAACCAACCATTTCCCATCATAGTTACTTTCTATTCCACCAGCCATGGCAAGTTCCAAAGAAGCTGCAAACTAATGTGGGCAAATATACTCTCCAATGGATGAATAGATACTGGAGGAAACAGTTTCATAAACCCAGCTGGTTTCAGCTGCACTTTACACAGAGGCTTGCATTGCCTGTTGTCAGGAATATGGCATCGTACTTGCTAGAAACAATCAGCTAGGGGTTAGACTGGTCCATATGCTATTCTCAGCTCTGTTACTGACTCACCTGCATGGCCTTGGGCAAGTGGCTTGCATACTTGTGCCTTAGTTTACCCACTGGTAATAGCAGAGATAGTAACAGTCTCAGAGAGTGGTGTGAGAATTAGTTAATTAATATTTGGAAAACAGCTTGTGCCTTGACGTCTTTGTGCCTTTGTTTACCCACCAGTAATATCAGAGATAATAACTGTCTCATGGAGAGGTACAAGGGTTAATTAATTATTTGAAAAGCAGTTTGAGATGCTTGGATGAAAGATGCTGAGTAAAACATATCATTAAAAACATCTCCTGGTCCTCTGTGAAGTTAAAATAAAGCTGGAGGTTCTTAGTCATTCAAATAATGAAACCATAAATACTGTTTATTTTAATCTTCCCTTTAAGAAAATAATCTCATCTAGGCAGTGATACCAGCCAAAGAATGAAAAACGTTTCAGATTCAGGAGACCTATCAATTTCAAGAGCTTGATTCTTAATTGCTTTTTGATTTCTATCAATGGAAAGTGAGAGCATTTGTATTTACAAATGCCTGCAAAAGCACAGGGCAGCTGGGAGGACACCCACAGCTCCTCTGCAGGGTTTCAGCCTGTATATTCACATGGATACAGCAGCTGTACACTGCGCTGCGCAGGGTTTCTCACACCATCTAAGCAGATGATCTTATTTGACTTGTTAACCAATAGGGAGGTGTAGACTTCATCTTAAACGCACGTCAAAGCCAGCTTCCCACTGCACCAAAGCATGGGTGCACAAAGTAGGGTTGCAGGAGCAACTTCTCCTCCCAGGAATGGTGCCAATTCAACCAAGCAAAGGTGCAGGTCATTAGCCATTGATCCATTCAGCCTTTTGCATCCTGGGTAGTTTGTGCTGCTTGTCTCTCCTAAAGCTCAGCACTGAGTGCGTGCTGTGAGCCAGTGCTCTGCCCAGGTCTATGGGGACAGAAATCCCTGACTGACACCACGAAGGAACAGCAGGAGAATCGATGGAGTCTGTATTTAAAATCATCTTTTATTCACAAGTGTACATGCCAAATGTGGAAAACCCTCTGCCACTTCCCTAGGGACTTACTGTATATTGGGGCATCAAATATGCGCCAATTGGCCTGTGTTTTGTCTCTTTCTCTCCATTTTTTGTGCATGTTTTGTTTTACAAAGTAGATATGTGAAGAAGAGGGTTGAAGGATCAAGGTCACTGTGTTTAACTGGATGGGCCTTCTTTTAAGGTGTAACTACTGCTGGGAGCCTGCTGTGCTGGGCACCTGAACCACCACTTGAGCCTTCCACTAACTCAGAGAACCTTGTCTCAGCCTTTTCATGGCCTCCCACTCCTCTCTGCCCATAGAAAAGTTTGCAGCAATTGCCAAGTAACCTGTGTGGGAACGTGGAGAGGAAGAAAGGATGCAATTGCCTTTCTGAGCTCCAGCACCTTCATTAGTTAAATGTCCTCCTGTCTTCTCCATGCTAGTCCAGCTTCTACTGAATTTTCATCAGACCAAAAGAGGCCTTTAGGGCCATTTGAAAGTAACCATCAGATAAAAGCAACTGTCATCCTCCTTATGCAGCAGGCAAGGAAGCAGACATAGGTAGACTGGTCACACAGGAAGGAGAGGAGGGACCTGGTGACTCAGAGCTTTTGATTCCCAGCTGTCAGCTTTAGACGCCATTCCAGCCAAGTATAAAAGCACATGGTTATCTCTGAACTCATGAATAATCCCACTGTTTTAAGCCATAAACATTAGCATCAGGGCCTTAACCACGTGACTGTGCTCACCAAGAGCAGATAAACAGGAGCGCAGCCCTGGCTAGGCCCAAGATACTCTTCTTGAAATAGAGGAATCGCAGCAAACCTGGTGCAGGTTTCTAAGAGAATCACCAATGGGGATGCAAAGGTGGCTTGGTCCCCAAGAGGAGGGGTCCCTTAGGGGTGATGCAGCTCCTGTGCCAGCCCCAGAAGCTCTCTCCACACTGGAAATGAGTGGAGTTGTCCATCTCCTTCACAATTAACCTGTTGGATGCATTGAGGGCGCTGCTTAGCTGGCTACAGTGACATTGACCTTAATGGTGATTCCCCAGAGCACAATGCCCAGATGATACGACCCCAGTCCTCACGCTTTGCTGGAGGGGAAAGGGGCATTTGCATATATGATGATACCAACTGTCCTCTCCTGACTGGGATTTATTGAGTTCCTTACCCCTTTGCTCACACAGAATTGGGAAATAACCCGGTTATGAAGGAATTTCACCCACAAGCAGAGCTATCCCTTAAAACTCCACCATCCAGTTAAGGATACAGTTTACTCCCCAGCAGCTGCTTTTGACCTTGCCTTTCTAGCAAAGGGCTAAGAAATCAAGGTAAACAAGGAGGAAGCTGTGCTCCTGTTGTTGATGGGAGAGCGAGTGAAGCAACCTAAATTATACATGGCGTTGCCTACCACCAGATGGTCGGAGTGTCTCTGCCTCCTATTATGCAAAGTAATAGTTTCACAGACAAAGTAGAGGGGACCAGAGATACCAGAGCATTTGGGAAACATGTCCCATAGCTGACTGAAAAGTGTGTTTTACTTCGAGCTGGTAACATGGCATTTTAGCTGGATGCCTGTGGTTCAACCCTTCCCTGGAGGTGAAAGGTGTCAGCTCTGCCTCAGAGCGAGCACAGAGACTGTGAAGCCAACCAGAACTGGAGCAGTGATTTATAATGGCAGGGTTTAGGCTTTGCAGACAGGAGGTGGTGGTTTAAATAAAATGTTCAATAAACCTGGGCAAAGCCCATTTTGCTTCTCACTTAGAAGAAGCTTCCAGTTTGGTCCCTTGTAGCTGCGGGCACTGGGTTGTGATCTCTCAGCTGGAGTAATGGTGGGGGTGTTTGAGCTAAACGGACTGATCCCCATTGCCTAATATGTCCAAATATTCTTCCTGGTCTGCATCCATCTGCTGCTTCATGTCATTATGGCATGTCGACATGAAAACTGAAGGTGTGAATGGAAAGCTACTTCTGCTGGCTTTAACTTACGACAGTTCAGATATGGGCACAATGCTTCCCTGGGAGTGTGAAGTTCAGTGTGTGCGGAGGCAGTGCTGGACCACATTTCTGAGGCTGAGGATTCCAGGGGGCCTCCACTGGCTTCCCTTCAATCTCGAGCTTCTCTGCAGCACAGGCATACCCATCATGAGGGTGGGGATGAGAGTACTTTCTCCACTTCATGACTATCCAGTTATTTCATACAATTGTCCGGGTCCACGAGCACAGCTCCTCAGCACAGCATGAACCCCTGTAAAGAGCATGTATAGGAATAGAAATGTCTCTTATAAGCCCTACTAGGTTGGCCCCCATCATGTCCATTGTGCAAACCCACTGACAGGCAGGATGCATGGCCTTAATTTCACCAATAACTGCACTGATCCATATATAAAATAATCAAACCACTCACGGCTTTGGTTTGTGCATCATGTGAGCATCTAAAGGTTTTAAAAAGGGTACCACATAGATCTTGTACTCACCTATAATTTCTATCTTCTCTCAGATGCAGCTTTCATTGGAGTAGTGCAAGATATGAAATATGTCAGACTTCCCTTATAGCTCTTCTATAACTTAAATTCAACTGATTACATCTCAGATTAGCAGTGGTGACCCTTGTTCTCACTCAGCACTATGGGCTATCAGCTCTTGGGCTGGTTTCTGGAGCAGTTCACTGTGATGAGAAGTTCTTTAAGAATCAGTGGTGAATACTGGACTAAATTCAGCCACCCTTCACTTGGCTGCAGATTCCCCTAGCACAGATGCTGGGGTTTATAATCCACATGTAATTTCCTCCTCTTTCATTTCTCCCTAGGAACACAAGGGGAAACCAAATCAGGAAAGGACAGAAAGGACAGAGGAGCCCTGCTTGTGCCTGGTACACTGACTGGCACTCTGACTCCTTCTCCAAGCCCTTCCTTCAGACTACTGCCTGGCCTCAGGTAATTTGCATCACTTCCCAATCACTCAAATATAGTTAAACACAGCACTCATTCTGTAGCATTTACAAACAATGGGTCAAAAATGGTACCTTGGAGCTAGGCACGTGAAATATTGCTTTTTAAGGCATATAATCCCAAATCCATGGCATGGGAAAACCAAGAGTTTCACAACAAAGCATGGAAAACCCTAACAACTATTAGCTCGAACCCTCCCTTTCAGGCCGCACCCAAAACCCAAGTGAGAGTCTAATGGACAAATCCTCCTCTGGCAGGGGGCCGATCAGCCAGAGCACCATTCACCCAGTCCCAACCTATTTCACACCAGGCAAAATCCCTGTGGGAACAGACAATTCATGGCACTGTACCTTTACTCATGACAGTAACAGCAGACAATTGCTAGCGTCTCGGTGTCTGGCCAAAGCGGATGGCAGACGGCTGTCTGAAGCTGGGACCTGGGAAAGTGGGGATAACATCAGGAAAAAACAAAAACATCTTACATACCTACTACTCCCATCTCATCCCACTCTGGGGAGATGCCTGGTTGCTGTGGACTGAGTCAGTGCCTGGTCTTGTGGTCCTTCAGCAACCTGTGTTGCTACTGCGCGCTTGCAGACTTGGGGTTGTTGGCACATCCTGTCCTATCTGCTGTTTGCGAGGACTTTACAGCCAACACTGAGAACCAGTGGCTTGGCTATTTCCACCTTGTTTTGGCTGTTTTGGCCTACCTATGTGAACGAACATGCAGCCTTCTCAGTGGGTCAGCAGGTCAGGATGGAGCAACAGCACCTACATGGGAAGATTTGCTGGCTCCTTTGAAAAATCTCCCCTGATTTTTATTGGATCTTAGGTTATCTGCCTGGATCTGGGCTTTGATTCTCCGCTCTATAGCTTTATCCCAGGCTGGCAAGGGTAGTGCCTTTCCCTCAGAGACCACAACTGACAGCTCTCAGGGAGAGGGAGGAATGGGGCAGTGGTTGCGCTGTGAGGGTGGGGAGAGGGAAAGGCTGTCTGAGGCCACTGTCTGCATGGGGGAGCTGCAGGGCTGGTGAGGATGATCAGCAAGCATCTTCTTTCTCCTTCCCTGGGTTGCTTAACTCCATCTGGGGGACCACCACTCCTTGCTCTTCCATTGCACCCTCCCTAGGTCCCAAATTCCTGGCTTTTCCCACCCAGCTCTGCCATGCCAACTCTACCCCAACCTCCCCACTGCTCCCCAGGCAAGTCCTGTCCCTTCAGCTGCAGCATGACATTTGCCTATGTGGCTTATAAATGTTGGCTCTTCATAAAAATACCAGCCTGCCTGCAGGGAATGAGGTGGAAGGTAGACCACGATGAGGCCTTTTATTTCCTGCAAAGGTGTGTTTGCAAGACACTGGTGGAGAGCACTATGCAGATGCACAGAGACAGTATGCAGATCAGCGACACTGTGAAAGGCAGGACCAGCTCCCCAGCTGGGGGAAAATGGGTTAGATCAAACACTCATCCAGATTTCCATCAGCTGTGGTGACAGTTAGGTAGGCTGGCCATTTTGCATGGATGGCTCACCTCTTTGCCAGCTGTAATAAACATGGGTGCTTGATGCCAACAGAGCTGGGCTGAGCTTCACCAATAGATGCGTCTTCTTCCCCGCCTGCTCCATTGGTGCGAGTGGCCTCATCTCTGCAAAGTAAATACGTGAAGAGAAGCTAAGTGGGACTCTGGGTTGTACTCATGCTGAGAGCTGGCCAAAGAAGGAGAAAACATCAGTCTCAGAAGGGTTTTCAAGATTTGGACACCTGGCTTCATCTTTTGACTATGTTCAAACAGGATCTGTCAACTTGCATCAAGAAAATCAAGAGGAAGAAGAGCCTAGCCTTTAAAAGTCAGTGCTGCCATAGAATCATACCATCAACTAGGTTGGAAAAGATCTCATGACTAGAAAGTTCACGAAGCACATGGGAGAAAAAAGCTTAGTCTGAATCCATGACTTGAACACAAACCCACACCCCATAACCAAATATTGTGGGGTTCCTTTCTTGCTTGTTGTGCTAAAAAATTCTGGCCAGAATACAAAAAAGTCAAATGCAAAACAAAGCTCTTAAAAGTAATAATAATCTGCCAAAATTAAAGCTAAATTATGGAACTTCCACGTTCCTCAGCTGTGTGTGTTTTGTATTTGAAAAAGTTCACGTAAAGATTTCACCTACCTAGCTTTGGACGGTTTCATTATTAGCTGGCCACAAATGAATTAGGTGGATGATGCAAAAGTGGCTGCCAATAAAACATTTACACCGTTTCTTCCTTCTGTGTGAAACATCTTTTATATCTATGCATAGACGTATATACTATAAATAATAGAAATGATGCTCATATTTTATAGTAGGGATGTAAACACTGGTCCCAACAGCAGTGGCAAATGAACCACTCACATTTTCTGATTGCATAATTTGCCTAGAGGATGGATACATAATTACACTATAATTAAGTATAATAAACAGAGAAAATGATTTGAGAAGGAAAAATTATCACAGCCTCAACCACATCAGCCAGAAGCTCTCTTCTAATTAAGTTATTTTATTAAACAAAATGTTTTTAAGGTGGGTCCCCTTTGAAAATGTACATTATAGCCCATGTAATGCAATTTACTTTATAAGTAAAACATGGCTTGTGTATGGACAGATGATATCTGACAGGACTCATGAAATACGCAGCCATTGGGTCCAGTCCAGTCAGGTGTCGAGTCCCTCACACCCATGGTCCAAGGAGCAGACACTGCAGCAGCACATAAAGCAGCCTTTTATTTGTGCTCACCAATGGGCTCTTTTTATGTTGCTTGGGTTTGTTTTCTGATTTAAAGGGAGAAATGCAAGCAGGTAATTCTGGTGTTGTCATCCTGTAATGGTACAGTAGAGGTAAAGGCCAAGAAAAGAGGTAGCTCAAGCCAGCCCAAATACCTCATGCTATTTGGAGTCGAGTCTTAAAGCACTATTCCCTTTCAAATGCTTTTACCCTCACTGATTCTGCTCAGTGCTTGGCAAGATGTGCAGGTGGAGCTGACTTTTATGTTATTGTCACTGAAGAAACCCAAAACACTGGTTTACAGACTCAGGAAGACCACATAATCTGCTACCTTATGTGGCAAAGGCCATTGGACACCCTCCAGTTTGTTCCTCTTAAAACTATAGCTCCCTTAGCCACTCAGGGACCACAGGAGCTATTACAGAAGCCTTGGAGCATTATTCTGAAGGAGCCTGCTGCTCATCATGTTCCCCCTCCCCACAAAAAGTCCAGCATTAAGTTATAGCCATAAGATTTCTGTAGACATCTGCCTCATTTCCACATTTCTCTTCCTCTTGCTTGTGAGTACTCAGAGATTGTGATCAAGCCACCCCGTAGCCTCTCTTCTGTAAGCTCATTAGATCATGCTGCCTGATACAAATCTCTGCTGGTTTCTTGGCTCTTCAAGGCTCCTACAGCCTTGCCGTGTTCTTTGGGAAGATTCCTGTGTATCAGAGACCTGTTTTCTTGATTACTTAATCCCTTCTTCAGTTCCCAAGTCACTTGTAAAGTTTACTGGTAATGATTTAGGCTGTCTTTCAAGTTGCCGTGAAACCCAGCATATCCTTTGTAACACATCCCTTTGGAACCTGCTAGGGATGAGATCCAAGAACGGACTTACATTCAGTGTAGGAGAAAACATCCAAGTCCAAGGAAAAACCAGGGAAAGAAGAAATTGTGTCCTAAAATACCTGTTGTCCATAGCAGCACAAGGTTCAAAATGTTGAACATTATGTCATGAGAACATCTCTGAATGCCCCATGGAGATGTATTTCTCTAGCTCTCTCTACTGTATACACAGTGTACTGGGTAATAGAGAGAGCAGCCTGGTGATGAAGACTTTTTTAAGCTCTTTGCTTAGAGCTTTCCACTCTTAAATGTTTGCAGACCTTTAAACCACAAAATGTTGTCAGTTATTGACAAGATGATTGATGTGTGTGGTTAATGCTTGCAGGGTGCCCCAGGCACAGCACTTCACCATGGGTCTATATACTCCTGATGACTACTTCAGTTTCTCTCCTAATCTCATGTATTTTCAGCTGTATAGTGACCTGATTTCAACTAGGAGCTTCCATGAACAATCACGTGGCAATCACAGACATTGTAAACTCAAGCCAAAGAGTCATTTTCAAATGCTTGGCAAACGCCAGACCACAGAAACTCAATGTGTTGTAAGATTCCACTTGGTCCCATAATCATGGGTGGGAAAAAAGAGGAGGATTATCCATAGACCTCAAAGTGTTTTACAAAGGAAGACAAATGCTGCTATTCCCATTTATTGGATAGGGCAACGGCAAGTAGAGACTTGCACAAAGTCACCCAATTAATCAGCCAGAAAACTGCCACTGAAACCCATATTCTGGTCTAAACAGGTTCCCAGACTGCCCTCATCACTGCAATATCCGAGTACCCTCCAGTAGTATATTAAGAGCATTTGGGCATGTCTACACTGGCCGATGCAAACAGCTGCCTGCCAATCCAGCCCCCTTCTCAGCCAACTGGGCAACAGCCATCTACAGACTGAAGCTGTGTAGCCACGTTAACACCATTCTGAGCCCAGATGTATGAACTCCACTGCCACAAGGGGTGAAAGCTCAACCCAGCACCACCACTCTAATTCAGCTGTTAGACTGTCTCTGGATTAGATATACCTTTCTTTATTTTAAACCCCATTTCATCATCTATAGTTCCTCTCAGAGTATTTCCTCGTGCTTCAGTTCTTGCTAAGCCATGGAGACAGGGCACAAACATGCCGGTTATCTGGTTACAGCCTCATGGCAGCTTTGAAGAATGATCTAGAAGATGGCAATTTGAACAGGAATATTTGGATACAAAGCATAAAGAAGAAAAATCTCCAAAATATACTTATTAAGTCAGGAAAAGAGGGAAGAGAAGGAAAGCATCTCTTTAAACTCAAGATCTACTTGTCATGAGCAAGAGTACTAAAAAACTGGTAACTTAATAACCTGAAGGAAGAGTAGCTGTTATTACAGGGCATTGTACTGGCAAAGCTCCTATACATCACAACAATAATTCTCTCCAGACTTCTCTTCCCTCCCAAGGCATGAGGAAACACCAGTGCATTTAGCCTCAACCCCCTGGCAGGCAGCATCACTTCCTCGTGAGAGGCAGGGAGCTGACACAGCGAGAGGAAGGCTGTCCTTTGTGAGAGCTACAAAAGCCCCGTGTGACCCAGTAAGTCTGACATAGAGCTGAAGCAATGAGTCCTGCTCCAACGAAGCTAAAAATCCCAAGATGCTTTAAGAGCTCAGCACTACTCGTGCTCCCGAGGTTTAGAAATCCTTTGAGGGTCGCTGTGTTCATGCAAACCACTCCTAGCTCTGGAAGTCCACCTCTGCTCACCTTGATTTCACTTTCCTCCCATCAGCATCTACTTCCACTGTCTCCTGGCCATGGGACAAGGTGGGCTTTGATCTGGAGCTGCTCTCATGCTCTCGCCTGGGTCTTGTGTTTCTGGATCCAAATCCCTGCTGGCAGGGATCTGGCTTCATCAGCTCATCACCCTCTGCCTGGGGAAAACAGGGCAGCACGTAGGCAGCAGCGTTTCTCTGCAGCTTTGCACTTCTTGGACTTCTGTGCAAAGCCCTAATGGGTGAACGTGTGCTTCATGCATATGCAGAAAGGGCACAGACGCTGCTTGAAAAAGAACGGACCTGGTTAACTTGGCTATGATCATCCAGGAAGTTTGTGGCAGAGCTGCAAATAAAATCCAGACATTTTGCCTTTTGGGCCTGCGTCTTCACAACAACACTGTTCTTCCTCTGGGCATCTGGGCTTGTTGTCTTATCGGGATGCGCTGCTCAGCATGGCTTCTTAAAGGGAAAGAGTGCTGGGAAAGCCACGCTTTAATCCAGCCGAGAAAATGACACCACCTACAGAGGAAAACCCTGTAGCTTTTTGCAATTATTGCCATGCATGTATATCTTCCCCTCCCTTTGTGATCTTTACCACTTCCTCACCATATGTAAAAGGCCTGATCCTGATGAAAATAGTCTTGGTTCCAGAAATGCCACTCAGGCGATGTTGATTTACCTCCACAGAGGATGTGGGGCCAATGTTTTGGCCAGATTTTTCTGCAAGCAGCCAGTCACAGTTCTCTCTCCTCCACCCAGAAAGCTGGGGGAAGTCGTGCAGCAAGAACCTTGCTCTACTTCACCTGGCCCACCCAAGGAAGAGCTATTTCTGGATGGGCACGGAAAAGCCAAGCTTTGTCCCTTTAATCTGACATCTCATGCAAGTTGCTAAGCCTAATGTTTAAATTGAAAAACACCGACCTGAAAATAGCATTAAAGGAAGCAGAGGATTTGAACAGCACTATATTTTTAAGATAGTCTTTCTGGAAAACACTATATTTAAAAACTGACCCTTTTACCATGAGGTTTCTGAAACTATAGAGCCATCCCAAGCTTCCTGTGAGATAAGGCTTGTAATTTGGAACTGACTAATGGCACATAAACACAATTGGCTTTGTATTAAGAAGTCGAGTGTAATCATCTGGCAGTGTCATATTGCCCCCAGTCCAGAGTGGTTTGGGGCTGTTTGCGTTGGAAATTCAAGTTAAGTGCTACACGATGATGAAGGTGGCTCATCCTCCATGCCTGACAGAGGAATGGTGTCTCAGGGTACAAATCTCCCTGGGGCTTTGGAGAAAAACCCCTCCTTTTGAGTATTTATGGCCTGCTGTCTCCCCTGCTTATGATTTAATATCTAAGCCCATAACTCAAAGTGTTTGGAAGGGCAGTTGTTGAGTTGTGATGGGCAGAGGTTGCGCATTGCAACCTCCTCTTAACCTAAGTGACACAAACTCAAGACCCTTTTAACATGAAGACCTCATTCCTTCATATTGATTTGACATATTTCTACTAAAGGGCAAACCCAGGGAAACACAGGAGTTTCCGTGGTGGTTTTATGCCAAGCACAAGTATCTGCGTAGGAGCCTTTCAGACCTCTTTGCACTCCCAGAGCAAGGACCAGATCTGGCTTTAGTCTTTTAATTTTCTTCCAATTTGTTGGCGTGAAATCTGACAGCCAGGCAGATGTGCCTGCCTTGATCTTTGGTGTGGATCTCCTGTTGCACTCTCTGTTTTTCCAAGCCTCAATAGGGGAAAGTGGAATTGCTGTCCAGAAACATTAATCACAGCATCTCAGATCTGTAAATTCTCAAGAGTTTTCCCTCCTGGAGCACTGGAAGGCTTTGACCCATTTTCCAAAGTGGGTATAAAGCATATATACATAAGGAAAGCACACATACTTGTAGCATCTGCAAAAACATATGGTAGTTTCACATCCCACTAACCAGTTTCCTGGATTGAATACATATAAGTGCAGGCTTTGTGAGAACTAGCCCGTTTTGAATGCTGGGTTCTGACTCTCATCCCTTAACCACAGTCCTTCCTTGACTTTGTGAGAGATACCATTTCCCTCTTAATTTGGCAAGTTAATGCACACAGTCTTTCTGGATACTTATTCTTGTGTTGCCCTTTTTTTTGCAGGTGAAGCTATTCTCAGGCTCCACTGACAATCTCTTCTCCCATCTGCCCGTCTTGCCATTGCATACAGAGGGGTTGTGTTATCTCTGCTTAATCCTGAATGGCAAAAAGCAGCCATTTCCAGGAGCAGTAATTACACTTCAGATGTCTTGGGATTTTTCTGGGCTGCTAATCTACAGAGCAAATGTTTCCATCTAAATCTTTTGTTTTAATGAAAGACTGTTTTGCCAAAGGACCTGTTTTCCTTAAATAGACTTCTTTTGAAGCAGAACATCTAGAACTTTTGGCTGTTGTTTCTGACAAGGATATCATTTTTCCTGTCTTATCAACATTTTCTGTGCAAACATACCCACCTATCAGCATGTTTTCGCTTTTAGTAACCAACCTTGAGTCCAACGTGCCTTCTACTTCTAGCACCAAAGCAATAAACCCTGAAGAATGGATTTAAGCAAATGCATGTAGATACAGAGAGGCCCCCCTGCATCCTTCTGTGCCCGTGCCTGTGCCACTCCTCTTGTACATTAGTTTACACTCTTGGAAACTCCCAAAGAGGGAGACCCCAAAGCCCCTTTCTGCCCCCTCATTCCCAGCATCTCCTTCTCTTTATGGATAGAGCTTTCCTAAATTCTTAGCTCCTCTGTTTTGCCCCAGATAAAGCCAACTCAATCTTGTCTTTCCCCATGCAAACAGACCAGTGATCACTGTACCCTTTTACCATACCCATTTCACCTAGTGTCTTCCCATGTGAAGTCTCTCATAGCTGTCCTCAGTCTTCTCTAGACTAAACGAATCCAATGAAAAAAGAAATAAAATTCCTTCCAGGCCATGTTTTTTGAAGCCTCTTATCAGTTCTTTTGCTCTCTTCCAGACTTCCTCCTGTGTTTCTACCTTCATAAGGAGTACGGAGCACAGATCTGTGGTCTGGGCTTCTCCAGCACCAGACTGATCTCCACACAAAAGGTGCTCTTGATACCTCATCTAAAAACAAGTATCTTTCTGGCCAGATCACACGGTAGACTTAGATTTGAGCTTGCCCTCTACCAGCTCCTCTAGCACATTGCCAGTACCATGACCTGGTTCCTTACATGTATTTTACTTATGCACTTCCTTTTTCACCTAAGACTGTTTCTAAAGTCTATTCAGAACATTTATTGAGAACTATCTGCCTCCCCTCCCAAAGCTGGGGTTCTCCCAACCTATTCTGTTGTTTTAACCTACTGTAAAGAGTCCTGTCTGCTCCACCAACCAAACTGTTAATAGAGATTTAAATGAACCATGACCGGCACAGACTTCTGTTAATGGTCCTCTCACTTTGACAGTGAATCACGCATGCCTGATCTTCAAGGATATAATTCCAATCAATGGTTGAAAAGCAGCAATTATTTCTGTCAGACAGACATCATTTCTGATACTGACAGCTGTCCAAGGGAGACCTGAAGCCATGAGTGATACCAGTGAATAATAGACGAATACCTACTCATCACCTGTACTGGCTTGAGTACCAAGCCCTGAAACTACACTCTCTCCTATTTTTTTATGAGAGGACAGCAGCAAAGCCGGATTATTCATAGTTCTGAAAGCAGGATGGGCACACCAGTATGCCCCTAAAGCCAAGATGATGAGCTAATCAACTTTGTATTGTTAGAAGAGTCCCCACCTACGCTTTCACACAAAAGGCTGATTAGCTCACAGGTATGCAAAACTCTGGGAGGATGCCATCTTTCATCGCTACCAGAAGATGTTTAATATATGTTGCCAACACTTAAGTGTTTGTGAGTGCGTGTGTGTGTACATACATGCGCAGCCACTTGCTCTGGTCGCAGGAGCTGCTCACTGTGTTGCGCTAATCCGCCCTGCCACGGCACAGCCCTGTGCTGGGCATAGCTTCACTGCTTTGCTCTCAGCTGCAGCAGACAGGAGCACAGGAGATACAGCCTTCACAGCCCAAAGGAGCCAGATTTTAACAGGCTTGTCCTTATGCTGCTTCCAAAGGCAGTGGCTGTGACAGTAACAGTCATAGGATGGGAGAGGGTGTCACCATGGAGAGCAAGGAGGTGGTTTCACCTTTCTTGGAATGTCCTGGTGAAAGGAAAGCTAAAAGCACTCCACCATTTAAATCACTGATGGAAACACTAAGTCTGAGTGCATTAAAACATGCTCATCCCACGTACCAGCGTGCTCCATAAAGGAAGGTGAAACGTGGAGCAGGACTGTAAGGGCACATAGCAGCGTAATACTGCTTAAGCTGGTTGGTGTGATTCCCATTACTAACCAGGGGTGATGATGTGAAGTACTGGCTCCACATCATTGTTCAGCCTGGAGAAGAAGTTCTCTGAGGACACGTTACTATAGTCTTCCAATATGTAAAGAGGGCAAACAAGTAATCTAGAGAGAGACTTTTTACAAGGGCATATAGGGACAGGAAAAGGGGGAAGAAACCCTCCCTACTATCAGTAGTCAGTAATATATTTGCTGTCTTTTAATGGTGTACCTTATCTCATGTGCATAGGAAATAATGTCCTCTCACTGTCTTTTCCTGCACTCTTCTTCCATGCTCCTTGCTGAAGATTTGCAGGACATCAGGAATTCCCTATGCTCCCCATTACCTTCACAGTTATCTGGAAAAGAATGTGACAAAAAAAGGCATGCATTGAAATGTGCTTTGACAAATATATAACAATATATGTTTCCCAATGTATTTTAAATTTTCTGACTATAGTGTGTGAGCAGGAGAAGGTGCAGGAATGCATCACAAAAATGTCTGTTTGCAAATAGGGAAGTTTTCTTTAATCTTGCTTATACAGGGGGATAACTGCTCTTTTAGCATAGAGGATTTTTCTATCTGGGCTACCTGCATTCTAAGGATTAAAGATGCTGAGGGTGTCTCATCTGCATATCCTCTTCCCTGGGATGTGAAAAATGAGGGCTGGTTCATGTCGGGCAAATGAAGCCCTTAAGGAACTGAGTATGAATTCATGCCCTGCAGCTTGTGGGGAGAAATTATCCTGGGATAACTTCGGTCTATTGCTGACAAAATAACTGGCTAAATCCCAAATGGTTATACCCCTGTTACAGTTATACCAGTTGGACTCCAGCACAGCCCCTTCACCCAGTGGGAGCTTCCAGCCCAGCCATGACCTCTCCATTGCCGGCTGCTGTTTGCAGCACGGCACATCAAGAGAGGCGAAGAGGGAGTTTGTGGAGGCAGGCAGCTCCCTTCACTTCTTCTGGCAAGTGCTTGTACTTAATGCAAAGGGGTTTTACTTCATGGAAGTCTTTGCACCAAGTGACTTTGTCCTAAGCACTGCACTGCCTCGGTTATCGCCCGCACAAACATTCCCTTCAGATCAACATACCGGCTGGGCCAGAAATCACACAATTGATGTTTTGGTTTCCACTGCCTTATCTAAATCCAGTTACTGCTCAAAATGAGACTAAGTCAACAGACTTAATTGAATGAAAAGGCTGTGAGACAACCTAGAGATTTGTGGCTGTGTATGTCCATGCGGGAGTTAATCACTAAGCAAACACTGCGCAACAAACAGAGCTGGGCTGAGCAGGATCGGTTTTAATGTGGCCTGGAAGCTCCCAACAAGCTGGGGTTGCACGAGGCATTGTTGGGGCTGGCAGGAGAATTTAACAGCATCGCAAACAATGTCCTGCCATGGAGAAAAGCTGGGGATGGACAATGGAGCAAGCCATGAACAAACACTTCTGCTTGCTGCCTAGATTAGGAGATAGCAGAGACCCTGTAGGAATGGCCAAAAATAACTGCTCCCCTGTAATTGCTGCTGCCCGGATATGTGAAATAGCCCTGCTGGCACCCAGCAGTGAGGTGCTTGATGGCCATAGGTTATTTGTGGGGAGGCAGCTGCCAAACTCTGGATGTCCCCAGTTCCCAGCTCTTGCAGACATCACAGGTCTTTCCCAGCTATGCAGCTATTCCTAGCTCTGCAGCTCCACAGAGAAAGGTAGAACTGAAATACATGGGAATGGCTACACTGGGTCACACCACTGCTTCACCTCACTTCTCTCCCTGTCTCCAGTGCAGCCCATGAGCACACTATTAGGAAAGATCATTAAAACCTGTGTAAGATCATAACCAGGTCCTCGTCCCTGCTGTGACAGTGCTGCACAAAGCTTCTCCAGAGCTGCAGGAGTAAAAAGTCAAAGACTTACTGTGCAGTTGCAACTTGCCCTGGCAAAATCTGTGCCTCTCCTTTTTCTACCATCTGCTCACTTCAGAGGCCCTGTGTGCGTACATGGGCCAGCTGCTCTATAGGTAGGCTGCAGTGGGAATGCTCAGGTTCATGCCAATGGTTCATCTTAGCTGTTGCAAGAAGGGAGGCTGAAGCTGCAAACCTAAGATATCATTAAATATCTTCTAATACGAGATGGCTCACATACTTTCCTGGATGGTAGGACTCCATCAAGTGATGGAGAACCTGAATCGGGTTCTTCTGTAGGCAGCAAAAGCCTTTCAGACATCTAAAGGTGCCTTTGCTATGAGCAGTACAAAGACAGACCCTTGCCATTTCAGCTGGGGTTTGAACATGATTTTGGCTGGGAAAACTCACAGAGGGACACCACGCCTTGCATAGGCCACCCACTTGCACACTAGCCTGGGGCCAGGACATCTGGCTGTAAAAATGCAGTTGTGGTGGTGTCCCCTAAAGAAAGGAGGGCACTGAACATGGCTACATCCTTCCTGCTTAGGCGAGGATGCAGACACCACTGTTACATTTGCAACCCATTTAACAGCTCTTGCCCTTTGTAGATGCAGACAGGACAACCCCTCTAGCAAAGCCAGGGAAGATGATGAGCTTTGTGATCAGGTGCTGCATGGCCACAGCACTATGCAACGTCAAAAGGAACCGCTGCTGAATGCCCAGGTTTCAGGATACAACAATAACACATAGCACTATATTTCATTCTTTTAACAAAGTGCTGAATATGCAAAGGCTCTTTTCCCAGCTTCTGTCTCCGTCTTGGAAGCTGGGGAACAGCCGAGTGTGTAATTATTTTCAGATGCCATCCACTTTATTGATTATCTGAGTGGGATGCTCAAGCAAGGGCAGCTAATGCCAGGAGCAGAGCTCGAATGAAGCTCGCTGCCTTTGGGGAAAAGCTGAAATCAAACCACCAGATGAATGGGTCGTTGAAAACAGGCTGGAATATATTCCCTGTAGTCATTCCGAAAGTTCAAGGGCAGGGAAAAAGAAGACAAAAAGAAAGCAGCCGTGTCTGTGTTCACAAAACTTCTAATATCTGAAAGTGCTTAAAAAAAAACACACAAGTGCTTTTCTTTTCATACAATCGTGGAAAAACACACTAAGGTTTGGACTCAATGGTTTTGTTTTTCCAGCAAGTCCCTTCCAGGTTCCACGCGCCATCTCCGAGTCACGTCTGCTGGGTGAGCTTCGAGCTAACAGAGGCTTTAAGAGAGCTCGCTGTGATTTTGCCACACAGAGTTTCAAGTATCGGCTTGCTGGAAGTGCAGCGGAGAGGGAGGAGGGAAGGGAAGTGGTGCGAGCTTTGCCAACACACCTGCACAAGCTTTGGGCTCTCCTGGACAATCTGTGTGCTAATGATGTATAACCTGCAGAGCCTGGCAAGGCGCTCACTGAAGACTATAACAGACAGGCTATGCATGCCTCTGATTTCTAATTGCTTAAAACAAGTAATAACGCCCTCCATCACCCCGCTAACCCTGTGCTGTAGGTAAACGCTTAGGATAGAAACTGAGATGCATTCAGCTGGGAAGAGCTTCTACCAAGGTAAGGAACAAATGACAATTTAATTATGGTATTTTACGTCTATGTAATTCCTCTTCTAAGGCAAAAGGGAGGAAAAAAGCTGAAAGTCATTTCAGCTCCAATGTTCTGCTAATTTTGCTTTTGACTATTAGAGATGCAGCTGGATCCTATTTGTAATCCACTTTCAAATTTGCTTGAATTAAAATCCCAGATCACTGCTGTGTTTTCAAGTTGAAGTGTGCATAGTAGCCAAGGTTTATATTGCAATTTCTGGAGTTATGGAATGATGAGCTCCAACAGAGGAAAGTGTGTTGAATGCCTGAGTCCTGGGGAAAAGAAAAAAGGTTGGCATCAGTATTATTTGGAATTAGAGCTCCCTTGTAGAATAAATAGCCTTGAAGTTAATACAGGGCTACATTTTGTTCCACCCGCTGGAACTGGTCGGTGTGGAAGAGCAAAGGCTGCCATGGTGGAGAGGTAGGAATGGGAAGTGCTATTTAGTTAGAAAACCTGATTTCTGAACTTCCACCTGAAATTTAGAAGTTCCCCTGTTAGTTTGAGGCTTATTTTAATAACAGATTCCCTTCCTGACTGAAATAGCACAGTAAGACTGCCCTTGCTTTGAAATACCTGTGCTTTCTCCATTGCTACCTGAATGCGTCTTAAAAGCTGGCATTTCTGTTTATGTCTAAATCCAACAGCATGGGCTTGTTCTACTTTGCACCTGGAAAACACCATAACTCACATGAAGTTATGAATCCTTATATTCCCTGGGCTTTCCTATCTGCCATGACAATTCCCAGCCACTGCCAGGTGAAGCCAGCCAGCCAGTATTTATGGAAAATGAACAGACTAATCATTTCCAATAGCGGGACACGATGATGATATAATTGCAACAGTTTTCGTTGACATCCAAGCGGACGGATACGAGCCAGAAATGGGAATACGGGCTCCACCCATCTACCACCCAAATGTAAACAAGCCAGCATGGTTAAAAAGAGGACTAGAAGACAGGGCTCAGGCGTTCTCCTTCAGCTGTGTTATGCTATGATTGCCAAGTTGCCACACAACCTTCCTGCCAGGCGATTTATCCAGCCATAAACTGACCCTTACCTCACACAAAAAAAGTTGAGCTGCTTCTTTCAGTATCAGCTTCTTTTTAAACAGGGCTAAAAGCACTTTATTGTCAGTGAGAGATTATGTTTTGGAGATTGGGTGTTGTAGGGTCACAAATTAAACCTGTTAAGTACCTAAAATCCAGCTCAGCCTTAGCCATGACTGGCACTGTTGTAGCATGCACATGTTACTGCCAGCATGGATAAGGGAACACCTGCAAAAGGGAGGGAAGTGGGTATGAATACAGCTGGAGATGAGGTGAATAAGACTGATAGCTTCTTACAAAAGATTGGGAGCGGTTCTTTGGCTGATGGATGATTGAAAATCCAGAGGCGGATTGTGAGGAGCTTGATGTGATGTCACAGGAAACCAGGGTAAGTCTTTAGTTGAAATAAACTGGCAAAATAGTCCTGGATGCTGAGCAAAAGAAGCCAGTTTACAGTAGCTTTGTGAACTATTAGCCCCTTTCAGAGCAGAGTTTCTCACAGGAGATTGACAGAGTGTTTTCTTTCAGCAATAAGAGTCACTCCCATTCCAATGTGAGGATTTCCCTCATTAACAGAGAGAACAAAGCTATTCATGTTTGGGTAAGGGTGGTCCTGAGAAAAGCCTTGAACTTACCCTTATAACTCACTTCCTTGCCTCTCCCCAACTTGGCCTAAATTCAACTAAATTAAACTATTCCCCAAATTACATTTCCAATAAATTCACAACCCTGAATGAAAACAGCATCTGCTGCCTGTTGATGCATCTTCGCATGCAACGGTCAATCCATTCCTCCTGACTCCATCACCAAGAACAAACGGTGCTGCTCACCTTCAAGTTCTCATTCCTAAACAGGAGGCCGGCCTGAATATAGCTTGTGTATGCATCTTCTCTGGATATCACAAACCTCCTCAAACAGGCTGGTTAAAAGGAGGACGCTCTTGTGGAGGTCGGGGCAGTTTATATTAGTGAGGATCTGGCCTGTGAGGACTTGCACCTGCGGTATAAGGACAAAAAAAAGCCCATGTTCCAAAGCATGGTGACCTCCCAGTCTCCTAAGCTGTATGAAATCCCATTTCCTTTCTACTTGTGCTAAATGTAAAAACAGAAACAAAGGCACACACCTAAATAAACAGAAAAGCACAGACAGAGAAGGGGAGGGAGGCCCTAGCGCAGGTCCTACGCCAACTAGTACAGAGAGATGTTTCCTATTTGCGGTCTTTCGTGTTAGACCTTGCCATATCATGTGAATGAGAATGTGAGTGGGAGACTCGTTGGACAACGTTGGTTTTACAAATGTCTCACGATTGCAGAAACACCTGCTTTACATTATTTTTCTTGCTGGTCCACAACAAAATTCCTCCCTGGTCAACAGTTCTCAGCAGGCTTCATTTCTTGCTTCTCTGTGGATGGCTCAAATCACTGGTTTCTAAATCCTGGGCCACCACGAACCTGAACCTCCTTGAGTAGGAGGGGAAAAACAGAAGGCAGAAGGGCATTTCTGCACAGAATCATGCCAAAATGTTGGCTAGAGAGCCTAAATCTCATGATTCTGCTCACCATCAGGTGGGGGAAGCGGGGCAGAAGGGTTACCCAGGCCAAATGGACGGATCTGTAAGACCATCTGTTTTCAGCATGAAAACCTCACAGCCCACACCTATGCAACACACACCACTCCAGTCACCACAAGTTATTACTCTTGGTCTCCACCGCTTCCTGTAAAGCTGTAATGGGTCTGAGAGAGCGTCCAATGAAACCAAAGGGATCCTTTCCATTAACTCAATGGGCTCTGGATCAGGCCCAACATCTGTTTGGCCCTCTCTGTACACAGTGCAGCCAATTTATTCTTTATCCGTTCTTGGGCCTCTCTCTCCAATAGCATCCATATTTTCCTACTTATGGTTGTCATTAGCCACACTAAGCACCAACCCCAGTAAGGGACCATCCTTCCCCTCTTTGGCAGCCAGTCCCCTCCCATGGCATAGCCACGAGTGCTGCCCAACCCCATATCATTTTGGCCAGGTAACAGTCTCTCCTTTCTCCTTGTTCAGGTTTCCAGGCTATCCCTTCAAGCTGCCAAGCTCTTCCTGCTCTTCCTACTCTTCCCACCAAGGATAGGGCTGGTTTTTGCTTTCTGGTTTACTGTAAATCTGGCCAAGAATCAATACAAACACCAAACAGAAAGGTCCAAGAGCCCATAAGACACCTGAAGAGCATTGTAGAGGAGGGGCATGTTCTCCAAACAGACATTTCCCACCTTGGCTGATGACAACGCAGGCAATAAATTCTCTAGCAATCCAGATTACAAAGGGTAACAGCCAACAGGCAGCTCCATACTCTTATATTGGGATCCAGAGGTAGAATAAGAGACCTAGCAATAAATCTCCAAGCTGTCTGTATAAAACCAAGTGTGTGGTGCATATATATATGTATACATATATACACATACATATATATTGTATATGTGCATAATGCCAGTTAACAACACTTAAGTTTCCAACCACTCTACAAATACAATCTAATTCGTGATTCAGGTTGGAGAGACTATGCTGGGACTAAGCACAGGTCTTCTCCAGGTCCCACAGTGACAGCAATAGCAATGGTCCATGAGACACCACCCGTTCACTGAGCAATACACAATATTAATTTCTTTATGACTTTGCTGAGCCCTTAGATTCCAGGGTCTTTTTTCATCCCATCACACACAGATTTCCGTGCTGCGAAATGCATGCTACTGCTAGGCAGAGCAATAGCCTTCATTTACAAACCAAGCAGCTTCTTCCAGCACAAAACCAACTTTCCAGTGTTAAATCTATAGATCCTTCCAGACATAGAGCTACAGATTTATTTAGGCACTGACACTGTGAGAATCCCATGCAAAAATACCCCCTCACCATATCCCAAACTCAACATGATTTTGGAAATGCAAGTGTGGTGCCTGAGGCCAGATGAGCGGACTGGCAGGCTGCTGGCACTGTGCATAGGCACATACATCTGCATGCCAGGTAGTTACTCATTCCTGCATACTTCCCTGATAAAATCTGGATTGCCTAAAGCTGGTATTTTCACTCCAGTTTCCTTATCAAGGTATTTACCACCTCCTGTCTGTGCCTTGCAGACCGAGGGTGTTAAATGCTCCCTTACTCTCTCTTTGTGGTACAGTGAGCTCAAGCATGTAGGAACTGCCGTACAGGATGGGATTTCTAAACCCACTGGAGCACGCAGTGGGTGGCTGTTGGCCTGGGCTTGATGGGATCTCACCCTGTTTGTACCTGGGATGTTGTGCTTTTGATCCTCAGGCTGGCTTTCTGCAGCTGGCGGGCTCCTTCCTGTGTTTTGGGTGTTTGTTGTGGTGTTTCCTGGTAGTCCCTGGTTGCGTTTTAAAAGCTGTTGTCTCCTGTGAAAGGTTCTATCCTGGTGTACAGCTGCATGAAGAGGATGGTCTGGGATGAAGTGTCAGGAATAGCAGTAGTGTAAATGGCACCTCAATATAGACACAGAACATCTTTTTCTCTCTAAAAGAAAAAGCATCTCTCTCTGTAAATAACAATATTGAGACAGGCCATTGATCACAAAGGCAAGTTGCTCTTGGAAACTTTGTGCAGTCCCTTTCCAAGAGCACCCCCACACCTCTTTCCAACAAACTGCTGATACAAATCGTCTGGTTTAGCCAATGGCTCTCACACCCTCTTCTTCACATGAGAGGGAACATCACTCCCAACATAAAGTGCTTGATGGCTCTGCTGTTCCCTCCCTAGCCTGATAAAAGGAAAAAGAGATACAGATCCTGAAACAGTATATAAAAGATTATTAATATCCTTGAAGAAAAATATTAGATTACCCATTGTAAGAAATAAGTTTAATTTCACAAACATCATAAGTATTTCATCAGTTTAAAAGTAATACTTATGGAAACTGACTTCGTCCACTGTGCACTAGGGGAGAAAAAAGTTCATTTTGGGGTGCTGATTCTACCAACAATGCCACTCTCAACCATTCCCATGAGCATTACACTATAGGAATATAGCTTTGTTTCTGAAAAAAAGGGGTTTTGGCTAAATTCAGACAGAATTAAATGCAATTTGACTTCAGAAATATCAAGTCCTTTTAGTTCAAAAATATAACAATATAGAGTTTTTCAGGCTTCATATAAAAATATTTTCTTCTGCTATTTCGGCTGGACAACACTTATTGGGACCTAGGAAAAATACCTCTATTTTAGTGCTTAACCCTTCTGTGGTCCTTCTGCTGAAAGATGTTAGACTTGGATCCAAGGTGGGTGTCATACATGACAGTGTCCAGCCCGTGAGAGCATTCTGAACCCCACCAGATGGGCAGAACAAGCCCTGTCCACTGTCAGCGGTGAAGGAGAACCAGGCAGGGCTCCTGGGGCTGGTTTATCCCATCACTTTGGCTTTTGGATTAGCCAGCTCTGCAATCAGAGAGATGACTCCATATCTGAGGTGGCGTTAATTAAGTGCCAATTGCAATGAAGGCATGATGATGTGGGCTTCAACGGGAGCTGGCTGCCTGGGATCATGCCCTGCAACCAAGCTATAACCTGCTTTGCACCCTACTTCCTTCCGGGATTAAGACTAGCTAGGCTAAAACCAGCTTGAGACATGCCTGCTCTTGCTGTGATTTCTCCTGGGCCTTTCTTAGGAGCTCTGATTTTTTGGAGGTCCTGTGCACCTGCCACAGCCCCTTTGTGCCAGGGTGCTGAGTGCCCAACGCATGGGCAGGAGCAGTCCTGGGATGCCTAGAGGAAGAAGGACAGGAAAGCAGGTGCTTTACAAAGTGCTAACCTACTGTTTCATCCTGTCCTGCAACCTCCAAAGACAGCGCTCAGGAATAAAACGCACGGAACCACGTAGTGTGAGAGAGCAACTCAAAAATTACTCCTGTAGTGAAGAAACCACATAATATATTCAAGATGTCAGAGGTTAGCTGTGGTGTATGTGAATCATGCTGCAAATACCTCACCTTTAACTTTACCGTCGTAATTAGATTACAAAGTTTTTATTACAGTTTTAAATTCTGCCTTTATAGGTTGCTGCCCAGCTGTGCACTTAAATCTGGTTTTATCACACTTTCTGAGCTCATCACATTTAATTCTGCCCCTACAATGCTGGATTAACTTTAAGGGTCGCTGAAGTCAAGAAGTCACTCACCCTTGCCCTACTAATGGATTCACACCATCCCTGCATGGCCCCTAAGAGTGATGTGTACAGTAAACTACATTTATAGGCACGGTGGAGGGGAAGGGGCATTGGGGTTGTTTATTTACTCCACTGCTGTGCTCAGCTATCAGGATATTTGCACAGATTACTGCAGTCACGAGATGTTGTTTACCTCCAAAAGCCTGTTGCAATGAAATCTCAGCAGCACTGCTCTGAGAGCTCAGAAAGAGAATATCTAGGTCTGCCTGTGAGAAGTGGATGGCTGATTATTGACGTTTATAGACCTGTATAATCTGAGGAGCTGATCAATTGTTTCCATTCAGAAATCCAGAGATCACACCCTGCCATCACAATCCTCCTGCCAGAAAGCCCAGATCTGATACTTTGTGGGGCCCATCTCTGATATTCAAAGCAGTCCCAGCAGAATAAAAAACATTATATTTTTCTACAGGTGTCTTCTTCAATCTTTCTTATCATCAAGAAATCAAGGCAAGGCACAAAGGAAACTCTTCATCTAAACAACATTCACCCCCCAGGTTTTACCTCAGTCTGTTCTTCGATCAGCAAACATCAGATGGGTTGGTGTCAGATACCACCCGAACAAGATGATCCATTGTCCTGAAAAATTCAGCATGTAAATGGGCAAATAAAGGACAAACAATATTATTTCTTTTTAAAAAATGGAGAAATGAGGTACTGAGTGTCCATCCGAGTGATTTACATGAAGTCACAGGGGGAATCTGAAAGGGATCTGGGAAATACAACTAGTTCCAGTGGAAAGGTCATTTTTTTCTTGCTGAGGGATGCTTTGAACAGAATTAGAACAGACCTGAGACAGAGATGGACAGCAGGGACTTCAATGAAAAATGGGGGGCAAAAATCATCACTGAGTAATGCCATGACAATTTTTGACCTTTGTTATTCAATGACTAGACACAACATCTTTGGACCCGAGGTTAATAATCTTCAGCAATGTACAACCTTCTCCCAAGGAATGTGTGGTGATTAGGGCAAAGAATTTCACATGGTCACAAAATATCTATCTCAGAGTCCTGGGCTTATAAAATACTCTATTTCCTCCATTAATTGTGTCCACGTGGAGCTGTAACTAAGTAGCTGAAACAAATAAAACCAAAGTAATATTGTTTCCTTTTAAAATATTTCACTTAATTTGTGGAAGAGGTTTGGGCTCATTAAAAATAGACCATCTCCCATGAGGGCTTTATCCTTTTCTTCTCCAAGTCTCTCAACCAATCCTTAGTAATGCACAGAGCAGCGCACTCCTCCTCGGCACAGCCCTGGCTGGAGCCGCTCTCGTTTGACTCAGCAGCTCCTGCCGTGCTGGGCAGCGAGGGCAGGCAGCGCTCCTCTGGCTAAGCAAAGCGAGGCCTCGGTGTCTTCTGATGCGTCATTGCTCTGAAACAAACCGTCAAGTGTTGCTGACTAAAATTTCCTCCTTCCACCTCCAGCTCGTTAGGAAACTCCACTCCCTCCTCCCACGTTAAGGTCTGGCTATCCATAGTTGTGGAAATAACAATATGTTCATTGCAAAACGAAGATGCGAGAAATGCTTAGACCTCAGTTAGGGCTTACTTAAGTTGAAGCTATTGTGCAGGCACTTGGCTTCTTCTGGTGGATCTTAGTCTGCTCCCTAATCTTTCAATGTGAGTGATGAATCAGTTACAGGTGACATCAGAAACCGCTGTGTTGTCAACAGACCGTGACAATTCCTTTCCCTGACCTAATGTCAATCACAAAGCAGGGGACAAAGCAGATGAGGCAGAGGTGAAGAGCAACCTGGAGCAAGGGTGTTAGGCTGCAAGAACAACCTCTGGAAGAAATCAAAAGATTCCACAAATTCCTTTCCTGTTTAACACCATTTTTGCATCCTCATAATATCTTTTCCAAGTCCGCTCCTCCAAAAGAAAGGCATCTGCAACCATGACCCTAAAGAAAAATGGGAGAAGATCTGGTAATTCCACGCAGTCCCTGTTGTGAACTCCCCCATTGCTGCTATGCTGTGACGTGAAAAGTTCTCCTGCTGCAGTGTAACTGGGGCAATGGCAAGACCCAAGGATGGATGAATGATGTTGTGTATGACCCATCCCTGGAAGTGTTCAAGGCCAGGGTGGATGAGGCTTTGAGCAACATGGTCTAGTGCAAGGTGTCCCTGCCCATGGTAGGCCATTGGAACTGGATGAACTTTAAGGTCCTTTCCAAAACAAACCATTCTATGATTCTATGATGGAAGGATCTGACCAAAGGGTGCCAAATACACATGCATTTCACATAGGGCAGAAACTGAGACTGATCTTTGCACTAGAGTGTTTCACTAGGTATTAAAGCCCTGTTGGCATCTAATGTCCTTTCCCTCTCCCCCACTACTGATGGGGCCCCAAATACTCACCACGTTATCTGTTATCATATGTATGTTATGGAATACATACTTCAGCCCTATTTGATGGAGACATTTCCATAAAATTGGATTCTGTGATCCCCCTCCAAATTTCTCCTTTTCTTTTGTGGGCCCAGTTGCACTGCAGAAGAATTTACACCAATGTTACCAGACAACAACCAAACTATTCATGAGGACATCCCAGTCAAAAGATGTAGAGGAGTTCAGAGGCTCCCCAGTGCTGGGTCACCCCAGTTCTTCTCACTGGTTTTCTTCACCTTCCAGGGGGCAAACCATGTCTGGGAAATTACTGGTGTCCTGCTGTTCATTATGGACACCACTGGAGACCAGGATATGGTCTTGTAAACTGTAATTAGATTGACAAAGCAAACTGTCACTATGACCTCTCTAGATCTTTAAAAGCACATGTCTCTAACTGCTATGATTATACTCAATATTTCATTTTGGTAATAACAATATCATCCACGTTTTCCTGTCTCCTTCCTTTTTCTGATCATAACCTTGTTAGGCACAATAGAAAAGTCATCCCTTAATTCTCTTTTCTCCCCATGCTCTCCGCCTTTGGGCACGATCACTCTCCTCCCCAGATTAAAAACAATATAAACAGCTTCTCTGCTCTGGATGAGCTGAACAGTAAGTGTGGGGCTTTTCTGGAATATACTTAAAAGTAACTACCATCAGTCTTCTGATGGCATCACCATCAGTATTATTAGTAGCATTGTTTATGCTAGAGCCCCCCTTAGAGCTGATAGCCAAGATCAAGGCTTGACAACTGTTCAGATGCTGTACAGCCATATTGGGAACGCAGTCTTTGCCCTCA